TTGCTTAACACACTGGCAGATTAGTATCAAAGGAAGAAGCTGCAAGTGGTAAGCAAAACTTACAGTCTCAGAAAGACTATCACATAATAGATAGAACAAATGAAAATATCAAAACAGGACTCAGAAGAAAAGCGCTTTGTGTATTTTGTCCCATCTTATGAGGCCAAATATTTAACTAGTAAGCCCCTGATTCTAATGCATAAATACAAACGAATACTGAATTTGGAACAAAATGTTAATGCTAATATGGCATTTTCATCTGTTTCCAGTTGCTTTATGAAAGTGAATTTGGCTTCACAATGCATCTATTTTTTCATATTGGAAAACAGGACACAGAGAAGTTATTTCTCTTTTATAAAATCACATAGTGAGGCAATGGCAAAACAATAACATTCAGATGTTGTTGCCCTGAGCCCAAGATCCAATCAAGAAAACCATATCTAAACAGATCCAATTCTTTGGCAGGAATGATGATCAGATCTTGATGGAATTTGAATCTCTACAACTGGTGAAGGAAACTACACTGCAACCTAAGTTAAGGTAAAATCAGTAACTGTCAACAGAAACATTAAGTCTCTTCTGCAGATTACTATCTACTGCTAAGCAAAATCTTAGCATATTTCCTACAAATTTGCCATAGCATTTCACCACAAGCATAAGAAATAGAAGGATTGTTAAACATAGAGCACGTTACACATGCATGAGATGTATGTGGTTCATTAGAAGCAGCACCATCACCAACACTGAAATGAATTTCTTTCTTAATCATGAACCAACAAAATGTATTCAGAACATCCAAGGTTCTAAGATAAAATGACTAAATATGTTAGGCTCCCCCACCTGGAATTTAACAATGACTTCTTGCCTATATTCTACCACATTCTGGTTGGTTGATGTATGTTAGAAGAGGAGCTGTAGCTATGGACAGATTCAAAGCTGACTCAGTGTGGCCCACACTGGTTAGCTTATACCCCCGTACCCAACAATCTCAAATGCTCAATTTATGAAGCTGCCTACACAAATAACATTTCCTTAAAAATTATGGAGAAAAAACATCTTGCTTAGCTCTATACCTGGCTATTTATAATTTCACATACCAGTTGCCGAATATTTATGAAAGTCTCAAATCATGTTGTTGGTTTTTTTTTTTAATTTTGACAACTACAATTGCACAATACACTTAAATATGACAACTCAGATTTCCAGGTAATGGTACACTTCTAGGAGCTGGGAATTGTTCACCAAATGGTCACAGTCAGCAGCAATGTTTCTGTATACAGTCTGAACATGATTTTTAATATAGATAGCCCAGTCCTGATGGTAACTAAGGAGGTAACAGAGACGTTGGTTTATGTCATATTTAATATAAAATTCTTATAGATGATTATCAGGCCTCCATTTAGATGAAGTTAGGTCACTCAGAATAATACAAGCTTTGAATACAGCTTCATATGCAAATTCATCTCTGAAAGGACAACTGGTTGCCATTAGTCTAAAAAATGTTTCGCACACTGGTCAGGGATAACAAGTACAAGGCCTGATGTTCATTCTGCAGTGTCCTTTCAGATTTATGTCTTACAATTTCATAAAATCCAACGTAAAGAATGTTAAGACTTCTCTAATAATTCATGTTTTTAAAAATTACACATGTAGTTTCAAATTGTGATCAATAATCAAATTCCACAAGCACTCCTAGAATTAAAGGGAAATGTGACTCAGATCATGTCAGAGTCAGATCTCTGCCATACATTATAGATAAGAAATAAGGAGTAGACAGAAATCATTGCCACATACTATTACAAAGGAACTCCATAAACCAAAAAGCTTGCTGATATTTCTTGCAACAAATTACTTGAACCTTAAAGGCTGTGTCAAAGCTATGAGACCCAGGAGCACTTCCCAGATCTTGTCTGTCTTGGCTGCATGCTGAGATGATACAGACATGTACCATGTCTCTGCACACTTAGTTTCCTTTGGAAATGCAAGTGCGCAGGTAGACAAGGAGTGGAACTGTAGAACTGCACTCCTACAGCTCCCTTGGTTCACATCAGCAAGGGATAAGGATGCAGTTCAAACTGCTTTTCTTTGTAGTTTATTGCCAGCAATGCAACTAAACTTGGACTCTTTTGCTCAGGAACTTCTTTGTATCCTTCCCCCTAAAAAAACCCCTCTACAAATAGTTAATATGTCTTTTCTAAATATAATATATTTCATAGTTTTGAAGGTTGAAAATTCTACTGACTGAAGTAAATGATATGAAAGATCTAATAGCCATGCACTCACTGTCACCGATTCATTTGGACCTCATAGATCTGATGAAAAAAGGAAGGGAGTCTAAAGTTGGTCACCAGTATGTTACTTCAGAAATGTTTATATTCTATAAGACTGCGTAAAAGTAAACAAGAGAAAACTATCGGCTAAAAGACGTCTATGGCAATGTGTACTCAAATAATATACAAAAAAAAACTGGTAAAGAAAAGATCAAAATTAACTAACGATGACAAAACAGAAAGGAAGGTGTGTGAAATACACCACGTCTTAGAAGGCTATGATGATGATCATTAGGAATCTTTGACATGCACCAGAGACTGTGACCTCGGCAGCGCACTACGATGCAACTAAATTCTCTTCTTAGAGGAGTCTGAAGGAAAAGTTTTCAAGTTCCTTAGTAACCCGATGTTGAAGCAGACACACATACACAAGCACAACATATTGGCAATGTATAAAACACTCTGGGACATAATAGACCTAGGAAGATCTGTAGTATCTTCATGGCAATTGGGAAAAAGTTGTTATATTTGAAAATGAACAGAGCCTGTAGCATGGTATATAACATGAGACGCAACAGTTTAGCTGCTGACATTTCAGCAGGACTGCTTTCAATAGGCTTCTACTCTAAGAGATGCCACATTAGAAGCGTCACCACCTTGCTAGCTTGCCAAAGAAGCAAAACTTGGGTGATATTTTGAAGGTCTTTTTTATATCCAGCTAATGTCTAAGTTCACCTCGTCTATAACTAGAAGGACAAATGAGCAGCTCAGTTTGAAATCCTGCCAGTGTTTTTCACATCTCAGCAGAGGTACTGGCCCAGCACCCCTTTTCCAGAGACATCTATTGGCTGCTAAACAAAGTATGGAAATCTGAATCCATTCATGAACTCAGATTTCCCACGTGGCAACACACCATACCTCAAGCTGCCCCACCAGCTCTAGAAAGACACTGTCCTTAAACTGGCACACATCACCGTATCCTGGTGTACCTATGTCAGAGTTTCATTGTCCACTATCCAGTAAAAAGAGAGGCTGTTGGTATCATGAGGTCTATAAGGATACTAACTTAATAGTACCAGAAAGAGGACGGTTGAATTGAAGGAAATGATTTAAACTTAGACAGTTGACAGATACTTTGGAACCAATAACCGTGTATGTATCTGTAAGTATCCTGTTGCAACTTTTCATCTCAACTACGGAAAAAAATATTCTTCAAGATGTTGTAACATGAGACATTGCAGAAGGATGGGAACTCCTTCTCAATTCAGTTTATAAATAAATGATGAGTCATCAAGCACTTTTTAAAGTCCATGCAACTCCAAACTCTATTTTCCAGAAGGAGGAAAAAAAAAAAAAAAAACAACACAAAATCTGAAAAATTGTTGGTTTTATAATGATCTATTACAAAATATGTATATATACACATATACACACACAGGGAACATATGAAATGTTTCAATAAGTTGTTAGCCTCCTAATGAATATTATTTGTAATAAACAATTGATGAGCTTCAATCACTACCTTATCTTACTGTTACGATGAACAGAAAGCTTGATTATGAAAATTTACTTTACATTAATTGTTTAAGCAAAGACATGAAGGCACATGCTCATAGGACATGGCAGTTCCACCTGACAAGCTTTAAGCCTATAAGTAGGAATATTTTGCTCAAGTAAATTGGAATGTTTCTATTCTTCTGTATGGATGAGTCAATACAGGAACGTCTTGGATCTCAACACTGCATTGTGTACATGTATTTGTTCTAGGCTGTACAGATTTACTGAGGAACAGTAAATTTAAGGATTTAAGGACAATGTATTTCAGTTGGCAATGAGTGTTTTAAGTTGTTTTATCATAGGTATATCACTGCTTGTAAAGAAAAGGTAGCAATTACATGTGCTGTTGTTTTCAGACTTCCAAATGAAAGGAAAAATTGTGAGGCCTTGTCTAGACCATATATTTTTGGGTCACTGAGATAATAACAAAATATGCATTCAGATGAATATTTATCTATACAGAAAACATTAATGCATTTTTATCAGACAAATTCTGTCTATATTTCAAGAATAATTTTTAAACAGCCCTATTTGTCAACAGTCACAAGTTTATCTTCTTTTGATCTAAGACAAAAATAAATGGTGATCTTGTCAAATATTTGGATATCAACAGAAAATAATTAGAGATATTTTAACTTTTTCCTGATGAACAGTGGTATAACTAGAACTTGTTAAGTTAAAAAAAAAAAAAAGAAAACTGAAGTGGCAACATGGCATTTTTGCTGAGTGGTAGATTAATCTTATTACAGTGACTGGTAGATTTCATATTCACCTACATGCTCTCTTGCAATGCATCATAGGATATTCACTTTCTCAGGTTAAAATCAGTCCTGAGAAACACTGATTTCCACTTGACTGCCTGGCATATTGAATAAATCAATAAAATCTGTGCAAATGCACCGAAGTGTTATATTGTGTACAAGACATTCATATAGAAAAGTGAAATATTTTTACATTATCTTTTGATAGCTGTCTTTATACAAAGCAGTACTTTTAATGGATCTACCCTTTGCCATGTAGTTACTAAAATCTTAAATAAAACAAACAAACAAAGAACAACAACAAAAAAACGTGTTGCCCTGGAACAGCTAGAGGGTATGCTGGCAGCATTTCAGCTACACAACCATTCTGTGATGCAGAATTGAATAACCCACAGTAAAAACTGCAACTCACCTTCTGCATCTTCTGGCCTTGTAAGATCAATGACACCAGGGCCCAGTTTTCCATCTTCATTGGGCTTCCCTGTTAACTGTGGGCCTAAATTCTCAAATCTTGTTCTTTCCTGGAAGAGAACAGAAGTAGTCTTAATGCTCTCTGTATGTTAATTCTCTTTGTGTGCCTGTGCATGTATCTATGCAGTGACATGTGCCTTGTTTTTTAAATACCAACAATGAGTGCATTTAATTAGAAATTTAACTCAGAGACTATTTTTTACAGATTCTGAACGTTTGGGTTTATGAAAATCAGTTTTAAATGTGAAACATATACAGAAGCTTTGAAATTATTTTGATCTGCACTGCCATAATGCATAGATGATTGTACATGCAAATACAAAACACACTTGGCAGGAAACAGTACCAATCAATGCTGCTCACTTTGCCTTACCACATATTTCTAACTTAAACTGGAAAAGACAGTCAACGTTTGAGAGATGTAAAAATTTAGAAAGAATTGGTATTAAAAAAAAATAATAGGAAAAAAAAATAAACAACAACACTTCTCCTCAGTATGAGAATCAATTTAGCCATCATACCTAAAAAATAACACAAGTCTAAATTATATGTGGGTTTTTCAAAGACAAGTATTTTAAAGAAGTGATAATAGATGACAGAAATGATAGTATTATTTTGTCTGGGAATTTAAACTGAACCTCTGTGGAAGAGAATTCTAAGGGGTTAAGAGGGAGAGGGGAGTGGAGGGGGAAGGGAAAAGGATAGTGAAGGGAAAGGAAAAAGAAGTTCTAACTCCTAGGAAAAATAAAATACAAAAAGCTTTTGAAAACTGGAGACTCCATAGGAAAGTTGAAACTGGAAACTGAGAGGCATTTTATGCGTAAACCCAGTTAGCTCTTCCATCAACTACTGGACAAGGTCACTACAACTGACAGTGTAGAACTACCCCACAATAGTAGTCTCTGTAGTGCTGCATATCAGTAGCAAAGCATTCAATGGTTATCATTAATTTAGCACTCTCATTTGAAGGAACATAACATGTTTTCCCTCTTGCCTTGTTGTTACCTCTTCAAACTAAACTTGGCATTATGTTGTACTTGTGAATGAATGAAACCTTGTTGTTCATTACTACGAAACAATATTAAATGTCATGTCAGCTTGAATTTACAGACATGAAATACCAGCTTTCAGCTCTACGAACAGTTTCTCCATGTTATACTTAATGCATTATGCAGAAGTAGAGTGCTGATTGCTGTTCAGTCTATTGTTCAATGACCTAGTTCTGTGCTGTGTATGCAAGACATAAAGGAAAAGACTATAAGTTTCTCTCCTGCAAAATGGTTAGAAACTTGCAAATGTTTTCATGGACCAAACATTCTTGATGGCCTTGACTTCTCATTTCCTCTAGCTCCAAATATTTAGCGTATTATCTCTGTATTTTAATAATGCTTCAATATTATGCTTCAATAATAAGACCTATAGCCAAACAGTTCAGGAATTCTTTTGATTCTCCATTCTTTTGATTCCTCCAATCATGGATTGTTATTGCTATTTTTAAATTTGCAGGGGAAGGAAAAAAAGTTAAAAAAAACAAACAAACTAAACAGAATGCTGGACTTGCTGCAACATGTAGCTGAGGCATTTCAGGTACTAATTCAGTTTCTAAAAGTTTATCAGAATTTTCTAATCATGTAACAAAACAGCTCTACAATTGTTATTTACTTAATAATGTATTTTCCTCTGTAAAATCTGTGGTTGATGAAGGAGACTGTGTATACAACAGAACCCATAGGAAAAAAGGAGTTGCAAATGAAATGTGACTGCAGAAATGCACTATAATACCTGAGGCCTAATATTGTTCTGAATTACGCTGTGCAATGTAACAATGCATCCTGAATCATCAGGATGGGATCTGTTTTACTGGAAGACAGAATAAAAAAGAAGTTTATCAAAGATTCTGCATTCCATTGCAAAAGGCTGATTTGCAGTTGAGATATAAACAAAGATCAGTACTAAGAAAACAGCTTTTCACGTATATATTTTCTCTTCCAAAATATTTGCACTAAAAGCTTTTTCTAAGGATGTTAACACAGCACCTGCAGTACTCTTAGAAGAACAGCCTTTAAATGCATTTCAGAAGAAATACCTTTCTGCTATAAAAATCAACAGACCCTGCTACATATCAATATGCACATCTGAAATATCTTTCTAGTCATTCATTCTCTTTGATTTTACCAGAAAATATTCTCTTGGAAAAAAAAAAAAAAAAAAAGAGGAAAAGGAAAAAAATAAAGTTTCTGAAAGAATATCAGTATTTTGACATAGAAGGAGAGAAAAAGGAGAATTAAATGATAAGGTTCAGGAACGCAGAACAAAAGCACTTCTATCATAAAAATACCTGCTCTTGTCAAATAAAGATGTACTTTACAGTTACTGCATAACCTCTTCCTTCTAATTCATGAAAATCATAACAAAGTTAAGTATATTTCAATCTTTGAATACCTTTTAAAGACATTTATGTGATTGCCCTTTTTAACTAAAAATAATCTTCATAAACAACTGTAGCAAAAAAGTCAGTATCTGCACTGGGATTAGACAAATCCAGAAGAAACATAAAAAAATTGGACAATGTCCCTCAATACTAATTATGTTTTTAACTAGTAGAAGCATTCACAATTCAATGAAATACAACAAATTCATCTGAAATTTGAGCTCATTCTAAAGAGGACAGTAATTTGAAGATCAATTCTGCACGTAGTATTCTTGTTGCACAGATCACTACTGGATATACTGTTACACCCCTCCTACCTGTAATAATTGAAAAGTCTGGTGCTTTTGCAATAAAGTGTGCCACTACAGACAATGCAAGTGTTTTATTTCCTGTGAAGAAGCACTTTGCATCATTTCTCTTTTACTTTTTTTCTTTTACTGGCTCTGGATCTCATACTGTATAGTCACATTAAGTTTTCCTACTAAAATCTAGGAGAAGGGTTTAGGACATGGCACTGGCAACCTTACCTCATGTGACTAGACCAACACAGCCACTGAGGGTTCACACAGAAAACCAAAAGCTCTTTCAAGCACAATTCAAATGCTTTGTGCTTCTGTTTATTCTGAACATAGTGCAAAAAGGATCACGTCTTTAAAATGAGAAAAAGACAAGATTGTTCTTAAGATCCAAATCTTAATTTTTTGTTCTGTGATATTATTAGGCACTTATTTATGCATTGCCAGTCACAAACATGCAGGAAATGTAGAAGTTGTTGAAAAAATTCAAGTCTGCTCAACTGTCTTGCAGGACTGTTGGTTCTCTAAGTGCTTTGAAATTATGATGTATGAGGTAGATGTTGCATATTAAATAAAGATATTTAAATTATAAAGCCCCCGTTAGTGAGAGCTGATGAATGTTAAATGTTATGAGACACAAGGCTGTGGCATCCATCATATTCACATATTATCACAGTCAGTGATGGAGCAGCCCCAGTGATGACAGATAGACTGCTAGATAGTTATTCCTTATTTCCAGAGTCACCGAGCAAGCCTATCAACCCCTTTGGCATTATTTTTAGCTTTGCATTAAATTAGCAATTTTCCATCATGTTCTGGCAGAAAGTATCAATTCCTTCTTCACGAGTGGAAGGTAGAAGAATGATTTACTAAAGCAAGGAGAAGAGGAAAAAGGAACAGTTGCCCTTCCTCTGAAAAGGCTGTGGACTTCAAATGACTAGAAACAAATATAAAATTGTGATCTCATGAAAGAACAGCAATGAAACAGTAAGCACACAATAATGGCTTTTCTCTGCACTTAGATAAAAGCTGAATTTTTGATGTGCACAGTATATTTTCATAAAATTTTATATACTATGTTTTATACACTTATTGGCTATTCCATAATAATGTGTGTGCTAACAGTAAAATTGCTCTTAAATTTATGTGTGTTATTTATACGTTCCCACGTAACAATGCTTTTTGTTGTAAAAAATATTCTGTTTATTAATGTAACTTTACAACCACTGCATCCAAGATCCGTGGTAAATTAACGACATTTTTATTATTTTATAGTGTCATTAAATTTTTACTGATCACTCCATCAAACTGAAGCAATAAAGGCCATAATGCAAACTGGGACACTTAGATCAGGGGAGCAGGAAGGCATTCCATATAGTCTGAAGTAAACGGCTTGCTGTAAATGATATTTATACCATCTTTAAGGATGTGAGAATACTTGGACAAGTTTGGCAAAACTGTTTCTGTAGTACTATGGATTGTGTACTTAAATAACAGTTTACTTGCCAGGAAGACAAGTTTTTTCAAACCATATGCGAGAAGATGACTGATTGCATCCATCTCTTGAAAAATAATATATGAAATGTAATAATACACTGGGCACCCCTCCCTTCTGGATTACCAAGACTGATCCGACTATACCCATGCCTCAAATTATTTCAACATGCTTGCTTTTTCCACATCTGAAATGTGTGCTCAGACTGAAATGGAAAATGGCATGCACGCTGATCGTTGTGTGAAAGATTTAAAAAATACATCTTTTTTGCAAACAAATACTTTTTATTTAAGTAGACATGTTTGGACAATGATGTAATACCCTTTATTTCAGTAGTCTAGCATGGAAGCAGTTGCCAACATTAATTTAAAGAGCCAGTTTCTCTAAAATGAATTAATATGGGTTGTTCACCGAAGCCGCAAAGTGTATGACTGAAGGGATATTATTTCTTCTGAGGACAGTAGTTTAGTTGGAATGACTACAAATAATTATCACATGTTGTCTTTATGTATAAAATATATTTCCATTGAGTTATTCCACACTAAATATTCTAGCAGCTTATTTGCTAACTGTTATCTATTCTCTTCACATACCATGGACGGCAAACAACAGACAAACAACCTACTATATTCAAAATATCAGAAGGACATTTTCAGCAGAACACGGGGAAGTTTATTGCTGGCTTGAGTAATGAGGAAGCACAAGATCGTTTTTTTTTTTATCCTGGAAAGCCAATATACAAACATCCCAAGCTTTTTGCTTATTCTTACTACTTATTAACAGCTGGGACTGCAAAGTTAAATTGCCCTCTACTTCAAATCTTTTGCA